CTTGCTCTGCCCCTCTCTGGGGCAACCCCTCTGTTTCTTCAGTTCACAATTTGTATCATGACATCTGTTTATTTCAGAAAGAACCCCAGAAATTTCTTTGCAGTTTCAAGGCAGAGGCCACGGATCCTAGGGGTTTATTTGAAATGTAGTTAAAATACAGCACATCTTGCTATCGTACAGTAAGTGTGGCTTAAAAGTAATTTGTTCACATTTCTACAATAAACTTACTATAACTTTGCCAGGCATCATATTCATTACTTTATGCCTTTAAACACGAGCCAAGTGGGGCTCATATAAAGGAATTTTTATCTTATTTTTTATTCCAATGTACAGAATGGAATTGGCCAATTCACATGCACTAAAACTGTTTTTAACTAACTGAAATCATCTTTGCTTGGACAATTCTCTGTATACAGGTGTCCTCCATAATCCCTAAGTGCTATCAATAACTACATCTGCAAAACCTTCTGTTGAAAACCCAACAGAGCTTCGTTGGTATGAGCGAGAAAATTACTTGCAGTAGATTATTTCACAGCTGGAGCAAGACAGGCATCAGACACAAGATCATGACCTATACTCTCAAAATTCAAGCCTTGATCTTCTCCCCAGATCTTGTGGTAACTTCATAACTCACTGACACTGTCTGGCAGCCATCTAGTTTGTAAGAGAGTTAAGATTTGCCAAGTCATTCCTGCTGAGATCTTCAAAGAAGCCAACGGGAACAAGCACCCAGCTGTCATTCAAAACTGGGAAGTCTGGAGAAGCCAGCCTCTCTTTCTTCATCAGCAGATGCGAAAGCTCTCTCCTTGGAGAAGCTCCATTTCAATCTGCTTGCCACAGAAGCAGAAAAAACTTGATTTTGTAACATGAAGTGTTTAGATAAAAGACATGAAAGTATTGCTAAACAAAGAAAATGAGGCTGCAAGACCTCACTAGGATAATGAAAATCATACAAAGACTTTCTCCTCTTGGCCTCCTTTTCCCTTCCTATTTTTCCATCTCTAGAGGAGTCAGTGGGAGTTTTATACTCGCGAGCCCTTTCCATTTCCATCAATGCTCTTGTCTTCACAATGACTATCTGCCTTGTCATTTGTGTCTTCATTGTTTACAACGGGAGAATCCTACGCTGTTCCTCTCAATAACATTTTAAAAACGAAATGTAAACATGAACATTCTGCTGTTATTTTGGGCAAAAAGAAAGCTTTATTGGGTTGTAGGTGGCTGAATGAAAAAGACAGAGAAGAGGAGGGAAAAAAAGAGGAGGGATAGGGAATGAAAAGAACAAAAGTGTAAATAAAAAAACCTGGAAAACCTAAATGAGCCATCTTTCACACTGTGCTGGTTTTGGCTGATGAGCAATACAGGTTTGATTCCTCTTCCTCAGTGTGGTAAAAACAAAAAGTCTGTGTCACATTATGTGAGGATTTTTTTTTCCCATTTTTTATCTGTGCCTGGGAGCTCCTGGAAACATTAATTAGTTCCTTCTGCCCTCCTGAAAGGGCTGCAGATCTGACATTATCACTATATATTTACTTGGAATTTACGTGAGTCTCCTACAGTGTATGACCCAAGTTTTAAAAATAATGAATCCTTTTTATAAGCACTGTTTAGTATGATTTCAACATAACAAAACTGCTTTATTAAAGCACATCCTCACTGGATAGGCTGAATTGTTAATTTTAATGATTCTGTTTTCTGGCCACAGACAGGTTTACATATTAAATACTGTCCACGCTCAGACATATTTTAAAAGACACATGCTTTAAACAAAAAAACAACCCTGAAACATGCACAACTGTGGTTTTGACACAGTTGCAAGATACTATAGGAAGCAAATTCATTCCATAGCCCAGCAGAGGAAAGACCCTTCAAACCCTGGCCAAGGATTTGCTAGAGAAAAGTGAAGAAACACAAGGCTTTGAACCATTTGTTTGGATAATTCCTCTATCCCTCCTTCATGCACTAACCCTGACCCATGTTATTATACGCTTGAGAGCAGCACACTAAAGCAAGCCAAAGGGATCCAGAGGGAGGGATGGAGGGCAGGGAATAACTAAGTGGGATGATATATGTAAGAGCACTTTTAACAGATGGTTATTCGTTAGTCTCTTTACATTGCACACATTTCTGAACATAGCCCGCACACTCTAATGTGACTGTGCAGCACCTCATGTGCTCTGGGCACTAGAACACAATAAATCAGTACAATAATTTAGGCAGACAAATAACTTGTAGAGAGTTGACTGTCACTGGTGAATCAGAGAGCACCAGAACAGAGTTAGCTATGCTGCAGAGTTACTCACATGCTGCAACACTAAGCATGTCTGTAGTAGCATCTTGCACCCTAAAAAGAGAACTAAAGAAGCCCCACAGTTTACCCATCTAATGCCTTTGCTTCTCTTTACATCTAGTAATAAGGAAATGGCATTTTGGCAGAAAAAAAATCTGCGCAGCAGATCACCTTTTACAGTGGCACAGGCTAGCAATGACCACAAGGATCTCAGGCACATCACAAGGAAAACAGTCTACCAAGACAGTGGAAGAAGCTTGTCCCACAGAGGACAGAAATTGCCTATTTGGTGTTGGGAGTTTTTGCAGCAAAAGCAAATCCAAAGCCAAGTGGAGAGAAAACAGTATCAGCAAAGCATACTGAATTGCATGTTTATCTTTGCAAATATCAACTTATTTTGTTAACTTTTTTTTTTTTAAAGAGAATAAAACCTGCCCTTGGCTGCTGATGAAGGTGAAGGATGTCTCAGATGCATTAAGTGGCCAGAGAATGATGCAAATACCTTAAAATGTAATAAAGTTTTTGGCAGGTCTGTTGATCTCACAGAATTTTAATACTTACATTGGTTTGTCATTTTGGAAATTTAATAAGCATTTCTTCACCGGACACTGGTGGCTAAGGGTTCTCTGGCTTGCAGTTTGTGTTGTTATTGTAAAATGAGGCTCTGAGCTACTGCTCTCCCAGGACTATGCATCTTTACTGCCAACATTTCATACTATTTGGCCAGACAGTAATTCTTCACTTGCCTTCCTTAAAGCAGTGCTGTCCCATATTTTTTTGGCAGAAACTAGTCAGTCATTTCTGGTTTGCTGAGGTCTTATGTCCTCTCTCCCTACTCTCACAAATAAACAAAACAAAAAGCTGATTACATGCTCTGTTGCTGTAGCATTCATTATTTTCTGTGACAAAGCCCTTGCATTTTAAAATATTTGCTATATTGGAATACTGGATTAAGAGAGCTAGAGAATTAAAATATGCCACCCTTGCCATGGGAAAAATAAAAGGCAGTGAGTGACTACAGAGTCCAGGTAATAGCTTCCACTTCGAAAATGCACAGTGTTGAATTTTTACTCGTTACCTTTGTCCTCTTAATATTTTTAAAAGAATGCTAATAGGAAACATTATGCAAAAGTAGGTGCAAAAGTATTCAGGACGATGTTATATCATGGGTACTTCTGAAATGGAAACAGAGAACACTTGTATTTTTAAGGAGAGGAAGTATATTTTTGGTAAATTGCTACAATGACAGAGTATGCTTCCGCTCTTACCAGTTACTTTGTATTTATGATAGAGAATCATCACAACTCAATCACGGTCAGCTCTGAAACTTAAAATTCAGCCTACCTGGTTGTAGACAGTTGCTTAATGTAGACCAAAGTCTGATGATTTCTAACATTTTCACAACCACATTAATTAACCATCTTTTAATTAGTATAGAGGGTCAACTCAACTTAGAGCAATTACTTAATACGAACTGTGGCAGGGACACAGTAAGTATGTACGGTACACTACCATAACACAGAACAGTAATAACAGACTTCTGCTGTTCCTGTTACAGCTCAAGATTTTGCCATGCAATGATTTTCATTTAGCAGGTAGTCAAAGAGAACTTGGTGTACATAGGTTGTTTCCAATAACTAAAAATGTTCAATCATTCTCATGATACCAAGAGAGGTTTTATTGATCTCTTCCGGGCTGTTCAGCTTTCCAAACACAATGAATTTTCCCATTTGTGCATTTCTTAAAGACTTCATTCTCTAGCAAACTTAACCTCTATGAAAATTAAACCTATCACATGGAAAAAGGGAACTGAGTTTGACATAGGAGAGTTTGACATTGCTGCAGTTAGCTGTGCAATAAACCCTTTTTAGATGAAGTGTTCTTGATTATTAGCATGTAGTGACAAAGCAGCCTATAATTGCCATGACGTACCATCTATCCAATGTGTAACAAAAATCTTTCATTTGCTTCCAAAGTGCTCTCACTCTTTCTCTTTCCTTCCCTCCTTCTTTCTTTCCTTCCTTCCTTCCTTCTTTCTCTCCATCCCTCTTTCTCTCCTTCCCTTCTTTCAATAATTTTCCTGGTAGTCTTCTACATGCATGCCAAAATCTTCCAACATTTGCCTCACCTGGCAGCTTAAAGGACATGGCTATTCATGAAATTTTACTAACTACTCAGATTTTTTTTCCCCCCTCCCTCTGCCAACACAGTTTTATGATTATGTATCAGACCCACAGTCCTGTCGTGGTTGTAGAAGGACCAACATGAAGGACTGGTGCCTCTTTCTGCATATGATTCACAACAAATAAATAAATATCTGTATGCAAACACAAGTATTTTAACACATTCAGTCCAATTAACTGAACCAAGCTGCCTGTAGCATGAACACTGACAATCTGAAAGATTAATCCAACCTGTTCATTAGTATTTCAACACATATTACAACAGTAAAGCACTCACACACAATATTATCAGGAATAATGTTGTAGCTGGATATTTTCCGGAGAGCTTTGCAAGGCTAGACGAAGGATTCTTCACTTGCTTAACAGTGTGTTTTTACAAGCTAATTTTCCATGTTATCTTTCCAGCACTGACTTTTCAGACTGTTTGACCTCCGCTACACTATACAGCAGCACTGCCTAAAAATATTTTGTAGGGAGAATGCAGATATATTACAGATGGAGAGGAGAAGGGTGCAACAGGAGAATACCTGAGAATGCTTGGAGACCCAGTGGCGCAAAACATTTAGGACGCGATTCGTGGCTGCTCTGCGTATTATGAACTCTTTGTCGCACATGCGTTCAGAATTGTTAAAACCTGTGCGGAAAAAACACACATTAAAATTAATGGAGGTAGCAAAAGTTTGAATACAGTATGAATAACTTCGGTAAACTGAAAGCTCATAGAACATTTATGTGTAATAAAAGAAAAGATGCCTATATAGACTTTCAGATATGACCATTTAGACTACTGAAATTCTGCAAGATCAGTAGAATACAACCCTGCCCATCATAACTAATACAGACACCTCCTTGGGTCAGCATTCAGTTTTAGAAAGATGAAGAATATTTGCCTGCATCATTAACATCAGGTCTCCCTCCAGTATGGAAGAAAATAACAGCAAAAAGCAGAACTAGACCAAAACTGTACAGGGCCCATAATCAAGCAGATTACAGAAGGAAAGTGAGTATCATTTAGAAAGGGGAAAGAGGTAAATTTCAGAAGTGGTAAAGAAATAGGGGACGATAGTACTTTAAACACAGAGGAGAAGAAGCTAAAACCAAGAAATGTTCCTTTGTAAGAGCAGTATTGTACAGGCTCTACTAGTCAGCAGAGACTGTTCAAATAAGCTATTTGGTTTTTTACCACTGGGGTGACAAGAAAGTGGGAAGGTATACAGAAAACACATTTACAACCCCAGCTGCCTTAAAACAAAGATTTGCCAACTGCAGCATTTCCCCACACATCTTGTAAAGACAACTTTTTTTTTCAGTCAGCAACGTTTACTTATAAAGAAAGGGTTTTAAAAACAAACAAGAAAGTTTCTTCCTATATTCACACTATCGCTTCTTTCTCTTCTCATTCTGCTTTAGCTCTACCATAAATACAATCTGTATGATGAAATAATGATTACATTATTTTAATAATAATAAAATTATTACATTAAAACCCCAAAGTTTAAAAAAAATTGATAACTGAAGATAGGCCTGAGAAGTTTGTATTTTTCTAAGTTTCTGTTAGATTTGATCTTACACTGTGCTGCTTTCAATTTCACTCGGTACAGAGTCCAAGGAACAACTGAAAACACCCTTCCATATGACCAGTACTTTACTATTTTTTTGGCATAAAAGCTGTTCTAAAGCCTGTGTATTATTATAAATAGCAAATGCAGATTAAACTTCTATTTATTCTGTGAGAAACTCGTTGGAGGTATTCTTAGAGGCTAGTATTAGTTTTGCTCTATTTTTATTAAAGACAATCCAAAAAATCCAAATTGCTGCTCTATATTTTTGGAAAGATAAGCAGGAAAAGAAGTTTAACTGCAGTCTTACATCTTTTACTGCAAGTTGGACCCCAAACCACAAATGTATTTTCTATGCTTATGTTTCATGGAAGTTTTTTAAACTATGGCATATTACACTGTAGTTGACATCTAAGATTCAATATCAAAGGAAGTTTCATATTAAAACATATTCAGGAGTTTCCTTGCCCATAAACAGCAAAGTACACAAAATCTCTGAGGCTTTACTCAGTAAAAGGTAACCTAGGCAACATTTTGTGTATTCATTTTTTATGCCTTTCACTCTTAACCTCTTGCAGAAGCAATTAGGCATACACATTATAAATTGTTCAATTAGTCACAACTGCAGGAATGAAAGTCACAGTGAAAGTTATATATTAAAGCAGTGGAGTCTTTATCAAAGTAACATTAAGGAAAAAAAGTTTCAGTAAGCTAGAAGGAAAACAGAAAGAAACCTACAGAGACAGTTTTCAGTTAGCTGCAAAAAGAATAAAAAAACACCTAAAACCCCCACCATTTAAAGCGCTGGATTGTATCATTCCTGATACTAAGAAAATTATGTCATATCATTAACCTAAAGAAAAGTTAGTGAATATTGAAGGTGAACGCAAAAGAAATCTCAGTAGTTCTTACTGTCACTGAATAGATCTTTTCATTAACCAAAAGGTGAAATCATGTAAGAGAAAAGGTACTCAAGAACATTCAAATTGCACAGAAGAGCGGTATTAATTTCAGGATCTTACAAAACTCAGAAAAAATAGAAAAAATGTCAGCTGCAAACAAGTAAGATCAGTAAGCATTGTTGCTTTTTGGTCTTCTAACTTTGGTAGAAAAGTCTAAACAAAACACTAAAAAAACCCCCAATAAAACCTTATCGCCACAGCTGCATTAATATTGAAGCAGAAACATGCAAAACCAAGTCCTTGGCTAGCATTAGTTTTGCTCCTCCTAACTTTCAAAGCCACGTGGATTTTGGGACAGAGACTGCAAAGGGGAGATAATCAGACTAAGATCTGATGAAGCTACTACAGGAGCTATCTAAGCAGGCGTCAGTGAACTTTGATGGTGCCATCAGTGTTTCCTGCACTTTTCACAGTGCAAATTCCTCCTAACGCATCAGCTTTACTGCTGCTCCTTACTTCCTCCTCTCTCTTTCTGCCCATCTAATCCTCTCCTAATATAATTCCAAACAAAACCCTGAGCCACAATGACAACTACAACTATCCCATATACATAGCCTACTTGTTTATGCATATTTTAAAGAGCCCAGTATACAACCTTATCTGGTTCTGCATGTTCATGTCGCCACTTGCAGATAACCCATGTGTCTGCTGCTGTCCATGCTGCAAAAGATAGCCTAAATCCCCTCCAATCCTGTCTAGTATTGCAACAGGTAACAGTGGTGCTAGTCTAGCAGGAACTTCAAGCTATCTCGCCTACTGCAAAAAAACAGGTGACAGCCAGAACCTTGCTGGGCCACACATCACCTGCTCCACCTGTCCATATATAAGTGTGAAACTGGACCTGCACTATGTGACTGCACAAAGCATGCAATACGAAATTTTGTCATGGTTTAACCCTGGTAGGCAGCTAAAAGAAAGGGTGCTGACCCACAAACCAGAACTGGGAACCAAGGCTTCAGGTCAGATGTTGATCTGCAAGGCACAAGGGTTTCATCACACCTCTAAGGCATATCTCAGAGACCATCCTACCAAACAGTTTCCAGTTAACCTTTTAGCATTGCTGCATCTGCTCTATTATTCCCCATACACTTTTCCTACCTATTTTGGGGCTAGGAACAGTTTTTAACTCTGATTATACAGTCCCTAGCACAGTATCATTCCTGTTCATGACTTGGAGGCACTCTTAGCTATGTAGGCTACAAACCTAGGTGGGTTGAAAGATTAACAAAGTAGCCATATCTGATCAGATAAAATTTCATCTAGCTTGGTATCCAGAAGCAAATGCTTGCAGAAAGAATCTTTAAAAGGAGCAATTTTGAAGCGGTCTTTGCCATAGTGTGTTATCCTTGGCATTGAGCAGTTTGGGGGCTAACTACAAACTTTAGACTCAAATCAGCGGGAAAGTAGGAGTGATTTCTTTTAAGTTCATCTTCACTGTGGTTCCAGGAGAGGAGAGAGGTGAAAGGTCCCATCTAGCAGGATGCCAACCTTTGCAATATTTTAATTAGGATTCTGGATGGAACTGCCCACATCCAGACCCCACGGTGAAATAACCCAAAACACTCCATGGTGAATATCTGTTTCTCTCCTGAAGGAAGCAGTCTCTCTACACTAGAAATATCAGCAGTATTTCTAATCATTAATCATCTTAGTGGGCAGCTGCTTCAGTGAGTGCTACTTTCAAGTAATGTTTTTCCTCAGTATCTGTTGAGATTAATATATACTGCTTCCACAAATAGTTTCTTCACATAACGGTGATGCAGAACTTTTACCACAGGCTGGCAAACACAATGTTAACCTGCCAGCATTGCTAGTTTCAGTGAATTACTTCTTTCAATATAATTTAATCACTCTGTTCATGTACTTGTCTTCAGATTATGTTATGCAAAATCCAGTTTCACCTTCAGATGTTTTTCATATGTGCACTATAATCAAAACTAATATTTTTATAGCTTCCACTATCACCAAAGATTCAAAAAAAGGTGCTGAAGAGACATAAATCTCAACGCCTGCAGACAAAACCAGATTAAATTATGACAATACCTTGTATATAGAGAGCTCTTCTTATGTGAAAGTCTAAACCACTTTTCAGTGGTAGATATCATTATCTATCCCATTCATAAAGCAAAAAACCACAGGCAATCAATGCCTGCAGGTAGGATGTGTCAGTGTTTCCACCTTTGGAGTTGCTGCACTCAGGACCAGATCCAAAGATCTCATCACATGTCAGCGTGAGACAGAGAACAGACCCTCTCATCAAAAGCTACGAAGAAGTCCCTATAGCAAAATCCTGCCCTGCTTTTTCTTGTTCTACTGAACAAACCTGACTCTATCAGCAATTTACATTATTTTCTCTTTAAAATCCACCTCACCGAAGAGGAACATTTGTATTATGTTAAATTCTGCACTGTACATGTTAAATAAATTAAATTATGCACATTTGCTTTTCTATTTAAGATGTCAAAAACTCTCAGTCCAGTTACAGTAACTGTATTCTCTATATTTTGTTTTTCTGCATTAATACAGCAGCAACTGACTCCTGACCACAATAATTAATTTGTCAAAAGTTTTGATGATACATCTATTTTTAAGGGTTTACCTACACAAAAAATCATTTCCGTTCACAAGATTTAGGGCTAAGTTTTTTGAAGTTATGAAAAGTGACTTCAATAAGTTTCTGGTATTTGTCCAAAGATTTTATGTGTCAGTTTCGCTGAAATACTCTGGAATCATGCACTGAAGCTGCGTTAGCACCTAACATAGGAGAAAATTGCACTCCAGCCTTTGAGGAGGTCACAGCAAAATCCGCAGAGTCCCAGGGAGATGGAAGGGGAACATTCATGGTTCACAAAACAGATGACAAATAATCAAAAGAAGAGTAAAATATAGTTCTCTGTCTTGTGTTTTTTTCCTTTCTTCTGATAAATATGCTCATGAGTTGTAGGCCAGTTTCATGATTCAGCCTGGCTCAAATCCTGAAAGCTTAGGCTTGGCCTAACAACACATCAGTGTTACTTTCTGACCCCAGGCTTGGAGCAGAGCAGTTTTCATCCACAGCACAAAAAACCTAATTATAAGACGTTTTCCTTGACATACCTAAAAAAGTTCAGATG